GTTACAATTTAATCAATGTTTTAGCCGTTTGATTTATGAGATGCCATTTGTCCATCGTCTAGCGTCCGTTTGGCATCCGTCAGCGAGTTAATTTTGTAAACGCTTCTTACTCTTAACTACCAGGATAATTGCATCGAAACCATATATACTACGAGGAAGATTGCATCGAAACCTTATAAACATTTCTGATTATATATATATATATATATATATATATATATATATATATATATATATATATATAGAGAGAGAGAGAGAGAGAGAGAGAGAGAGAGAGAGAGAGAGAGAGAGAGAGAGAGAGAGAGCACCATCACTGAAGGGTGTATAAACCGAGGGTTATAAGATAAAAGATTTATGCATGAAAAGATGTCTATTATAAATGAGCGATAAAAGGAAAAAAATGATGAGACTGATGATAATATATTTAATGTCCAGATCTACGGACAATGAAAATGGCGTATAATGGGTAATTAGGCAATACAATATAATTTAGGGCAATTCACAGCACACATGTTGGAAATAGGAAATAGTTTGCGCACAAGTTTTAGTTTAAAATAAATGCTAACTTCCTTCAAGACATTTTAAAGTTCCTTCATGTGCTGACCGTTGTAGTAACGATCGTGTTTGGGTTGAAGATCGGCACATTGTCAGAAAATGCTTGGTGGTAAAAGGTTTATTGCAAGAAACGTACTCAAGTGGGGTCTTCACCTTTTATTATTTAACAGTGGCTATATGGAATGACCAATTCTAATTCTTAATTAAGGATGGTTGTACAGGAGGAAGGGAATTTGCCTAAAGACGTGTTTGTTATTGACAGCATCATTCCATGATTCCGGCGACTTACTAAATACGTAATTTTTTATATCAGATTTAAAATCAATCTATTTTTATTGTTGTTTCTCTTTTAAGTCAGATCGGTGTCGGATCCTTCGGTTCCTGTTAATATTGACATGACTGGGTAACCAACATCCGATGGAATCGTTGGCGGTACATAGCTTGATATGTGTAATGAAAATATTGGTTAATTATGGGTTCTCTATCTTCCTATACATTATTTGAGACTAGTTCAATGATCTTTTATCTGAACAGCATCTAAAACGAGTTCATTGATCTATCTACGGTATCAAGTTCTTAAGTTCAAGGTAAAAATCTCCTAGATGTTCATAGGAGGTACAATAGATATGAATCGATACATTATTCATCCGTTTATTACTTGCAGCTTTTATTGTAATACCCTCTTGTGGTTGTGGCCTTTGAACTATATTACTTCAATAAAGATTACTTACTTTTACAGATTACTAAAGGGTTGAAGTTAAAAGATCATGATACTGGCTTTTGTACTGCGCTTATATTTTGAAAATGCATGGTTACCAAATTTGGTATGCTGGAATTTCTCAGAAGTATCTGAGTTGGTTTCAATGCTCCACAGATACACAAGAACGGGATGTATCGTGGATTCCTGGACATTCTTATCGGCAGTAGAACGTCAGTCACTTTGAAGAACAGTTGTTCTAATTAATGATTGAATTTATTTATGGTTTATTGAAGAGACCTATGGAGCCAAACGCGACTGCAACATTTCTAATTACTGAAAATGCATATTGTCCTGGAGAAAAGAGGTTATTACATACTAAAGTTGGTAAGTTGTTTCAGTCGTAATCCATGTGGTCTAGAGGCATGAAAATGTTATTTAAAACCTGACTGCAGGTTCGGAGATTGATAAACTTCTAACGAGATTGAGTTACGACCCGTAACCAATCAAAATTAATTTTTCAACTTTCAGCTAAACAAAGTAACTTTTCAAAAACAAATTTCTTCGTAACTGGTTGAAAGAAAATCTCAAGTTTACCTTCAACCTCACACACGTTTTATTTGGAATCAAGATAGATCATGTCCAATAGTCCAATATATATATATATATATATATATATATATATATATATATATATATATATATATATATATATATATATATATATATATATATATATATATATATATATTCACATTCTTTCTTTTCATTATTTTCTGTTTATAACGTGCTCTCGAATAAAACTCTTTTAAATTTACCGTATATTTTACGATGTGACTGCCAAACTTTCTTCTGCGTTTTTTCATTTTTTTTTGTGTATCCAAACAAGATAAATCGAACTGCATCCTCCAGTGAAGTGCATAAAAAACCCACTAAATAATCACTGTATCGAAATCCTAATATCACCCTCACATAGCCAAGTCGATAAAGTGTTTATAACAAATACATAAATCAATGAAATTAAATTTTAAGCAATTTTTATCCTCAGCAGCATTGCTCTATACAATGACAAAATGGCACGAATTCCATCTATTAAAGTAACTAAATTCTAATTTTTTTTTGAGGCTGGAAGGTATATATAAAACATTAAACATAATTTTGTAATGAAAGAACAATAAAGGTAATAAAAAAAATATTTGCTCCCAGCTTGTTTTTATACAGTTTGGTTTTTGTTGTATTCAGACCACTCAGGTGATTTAAGTGGTTAGAACTCCCGCCACGGATACGTGAGTTCGCGGGCTCTAACCCAGAAAGAGTTGTAC